CGATCTCTCTGAAATCCAGTTTCTGGGGAGAAGCTGGACTGTCTCCCATTGGATCGGAAAGTGAGGGTGGCTTGCTTGCAGAGCTGCACACAAGAATAACTGTTTGCTGTACTGGGGTGTGAGACACGGTAACACAGTCAGGGAGGCAGACGGCTCACTGCCAGCCATCACTGTTTGCCACACACTGGCCTAATGACGCCCTGAGACTCTGCCCTGCACAATCTACAAACACACCCAAGCTCCAAGCAGTGGCTTTTGCACATGAATGGACTACTCTATTGCAGTTTAACCTAGCAAACTTGCAACAGACAGCCAAAAGCCTCCAAGCTCCAAACAGGAAGAGAGGACTGTGGTTCTTGCTGTAGCTCCTGCAGGGTGGCCTCTGACAGTAGCTTGAACTGCATCCCAGTGGAGATCCAGAAGCCAGTGTACCTAGTGGTCAATGTGAGACACCAGATTTCAAATCCTCACGTCCATAAGTAACACATTCAGGGAGGCGGACTCAGCACTAAAGCCCCACCGAAACAAGACTTACACCATAAGCATGTCTCCAGCACAGTAGTTCTTCCATTATAGACACAGTGGGTCCTCACAGCAATTGGCCTAGAGGTCAATTCCTCCCAGTGATACCAACTGCAATCAAGGCTTACCTACACCAAGACTTTGCACTCAGCCCACAAAGGGGTATACTAAGAGCAACCACCTCTGGTGATTGGAGAAGCTGAGCTATTGGCCCCTTTAGGTCACCTACCACACAAAGCCACTCCATCAACACAGGGAGGCTGCCAAAATGCGGAGACACAGAAGCATGTCACGATGAAAGAGACAGAGGAAAGTAAACTACTGGACGACACAGAATTTAGAATTACATTTATAAGGTTACTCAAGAATCTTCTAAAAAAAAAAAAAAAAAACACTAAGAAACTTCAAGAACCTTAATGAGAATGTAAAAAAAAAAAGGGGGGGGGGTGTCAGAAGTTAAGCATATACTGTCTGAAATAAATATACAAAAACGCAACTGTAGATCAACATACCCCAAGAGTCAAACCAAAGATCTGGAATATGAGGAAACAAAAAACACTCAAGCAGAGGCAGAAAGAAAGAATACAAAAGTGTGAGGATAGTGTAAGGAACCTCTGGGATGGCTTTAAGCATACCAACATCCGGATTTTTTTTTTTTTTTTAAACTTAAAAAACATATTTTATTATTAATGTCTCGCACCTGGACAAAATTCAGATCTTGTTTGCTGAATAAGAAACTGTATTTTGTTCCCCCTTTTTCTGATCTAATCAGGTGCTCTCATAATTATTAAACTTTGGGTATACACATGTTTACTCAAAGTTCCTTGTTCATAAACATGAATATTCCAGATCAAGGTAAGTGATGCTTTAACTGGCACTAGATGAAAAGTGAACTCCAGCCTAGAGTATCATAGAAATTCAACTATAAATCAGAAAGTTTCATTGGTTAGCAGCAAAAAAGTAATATTTAAAGATTTTGTTTTTCTTTAGTCTTAACTATTTCCCCCAGATTTCTGAGTCACAGACCATCATTCTATAGACTATCCTCATCTTTTACATTATTGCTTACATTGTGCAAAAACTACACTAACTGATCTTAATAAACTTGGCAACGTCTAAAAATATTTTGGGACAAGGATAACATATCACTGCCATATGGAATTTTTGTAAACAATCTTAGCTGAGTTAAGAACGTAGTCTTAATATAATTTTTATTTTGTCTAAAACAGCACAAAAACATCCCCAACAATACATAAACCTACATATAAAATATAGAATATCTCCAATATTTTTCCTTTATATAGTATCATGACCGCATATGCAAGAGAAAGTATTGAGGAGGGGGGGGGCAAGAGGAAACTAATTTAGGCAGTGACCTAATTAGTCAGACATTAACATTCAAAGACCAGGTGGACAACTTCAGCCAGAAAAGTAGTAGTATAAAGAGCTCCTATGAAATTGGAATTTACATACTACAGTTTCCATTTCTGGTCATTCATGCATAGCTGGACTATTCTCAATCATGGTTTTTGCCTTCTTTTATAGAAGAAAGATAAGATTATTTGGAGGACTGGTTCTACAAAGATTCAGGGAATGCCTATTCCCAATATCAAATTTTCACCACAAAAAAAATGAGAATAGAAAGGACAATGCTAAAAAACAAAACAAAAGCAAAACCAGGCCCAGGCATCAGGGCTCGGTGGTTGAGCATTGACCTATGAACCAGGGCACATGCCCAGGTTGCAGGCTCCATCCCCAGTGTGGGGCAACATCCGGATTTTTGGGGTGCTAGAAGAAGAGAGCGAGCAGGATACTGAAGGCTTATTGGGAGGAATAATGACAGAAAACTTTCCCTACCTGATGAAAGAAATAGACTTATAAGTTCAGGAAGCGCACAGAACCCCAAACAAGAGGAATCCAAAGAAGACCACACCAAGACATGTCATAATTAAAATGCCAAGAGCAAAAGACAAAGAGAGAATCTTGAAAGCTGCAAGAGGAAAACAGTTAGTGACCTACAAGGGAGTACCCATATGACTGTCAGCTGATTTCTCAACAGAAATTATGCAGGCCAGAAGGGATTGGCAAGAAATATTCAAAGTTATGAACAGCAAGAACTCCTGTGCCCACCTTAATATGTGAGTTGAATTAAAATCTCTACTGTATATAAAAATGCAATATTATTTGTTATGTTTCTTATGATCCAATTCTAAATACAGGTATTGATTTAAATGTAAGAGTCACTTCTTTGGGAATTGGATGGAGAGTAATCAGGTAGGTAAACTCTTCCAGTGTAGCTTAGCTCCATATTAAGAATACTCCAAATTATCTAGGCATTTACTCTCACTTCAATTGGAGTACATGTGATTTGCTCTCTGTTCTGTAGAGGCACTGTAATTAGTCAGGTCACTGGACATTCCAAAAGAATAGTGTTCAGCATGTCATTTTGAAAAATACTAGAGTTTGGGATCCCTTAAAGAAATCAGCACACAAAATAAGGATCATTACTACTTATAGATAAGCAATTGCTATTATTAGAAAGTATGTATGGTGATTTTTAAAAAGCAAAGTCAAGAAACTACCTCAATTTATTTTCCTAACTAAACTATCAGTTCCTTGGGGAAGCAGATCTGAACATTCAATAAACTTTGGTAGGGTTAAAGTTCTAAGATGGAATTTTTAAGTACACTCTAAAGATGGAATATATAAATTAAGAGTCCCAAAATATTTTTTGAATATATAGGAGTTAAGGGGCAGGGGCGTTAAGCTCTGAAAATGTGTTTTAAACTATGCTTCCTCAAAACTGTATGGGCTCCTCAGGAGTTCTCAGAGACCCAAATAGGCATCAGGATAGCAAATGTACTCCAGGCCAGTATCAGCCTTAAAGGGTATCTTTATTCTCCTTAATTCTCCATCAGCCTTTCCCTTTCATAACCCAAAAAACATTTAATCTTAACAAAAAACGGTGTGATTGCTATGAAAATAGATTCAAGAGTGGACTACTAGTATTAACTGACTGATCATTAACTGGAAACTATGAGCATTTAAAGTTTTTGATTCACAGTATTATCAGTAACTTCCCTCCCACAATGCTACCTGGGAGTTCTTATCATCACTTCCTTATGTGATGGTTAATGTGATCAAACTCTTTTGCAAGAGTGAAGCATAACAGTTTCCTCATAGTACAATTTCCTCTTCATTCTCTTCAATAAATTTAGATAATGCCAATTTTCCACTTAAAGATTAGAGCTCCTTTACGTTAATGAGTAAGAAAAGTAAAGTTCAGATAAGTCAAAAAGAGTAAGAACATCAGAGATTCCTATTTTGTTTTTATCTGTAAAGGAGCAATCTTAGAAGAATGTGTCACATGACTTTAAAGCAAGACAGAATTCTTTTCCTGATTTACACAAACAGTGCTGAAAGAAAAAGATTATCCAATAAATTTTATACATAACATCAAATTTAAGACCTTTATTAAATACAAAATGATCTTTAAAATTTTTTTCTTTAAAAAATAAAATGTACTATATTAACCATTTCTAAGTACTATATTACTTAGAATGTACTATATTAAATAAAATGTACTATATTAACCATTTCTAACCATTAACCAGTTCAGTAGAGCTAAGTAAATTCATAATGTCGTGCAACCAAACTCCAGAACTTTTCCATCTTGCAAAACTGAAACTGTGCCCATTAAATAACAACTTCTCCCTTCCTCCAGCTCCTGACAACCACCATTCTACCTTCTATTTATGTTGATTATTCTTCAAACCTCATATAAGTAGAAGCATATAGTATTTATTTTTTTGTGACTGGCTCATTTCACTTAACATAATGTCCTGAAGGTTTACTCATGTTCTAGTATGTTTCAGAATTTTTCTTCCTTTTCAAAGGCTGAATAATATTCCATTATACATATCATATTTTGTTTATTCAATGGACACTTAGGTGGTTCTATCTCTTGGCTATTATGAATAGTGCTCTATGAACATAGTGTGTCAAATATGTCTTTCAGATTATCGAATCTGAATTCTGTATCCTTTGGGATACAGAACTAGAATTAGAATTGCTGGGTCACAGAATGATTCTCTGCTTAGTTTTCTGAGGAACTTCCACATTTTTCTTAGTGTACCATTTTATATTCCAAAGTGGTATTTTGAGAAAAACTAACAACAAAAATCCAAAGCTTTAGATTCTCTGAGACACAAATCCTTGACCTACCAAATATTTATATAGTGGGAAAGGTTACTATCTGGCACTGATTCAAACACACTGATTTTAATGATTATACATCTTAAAAAATCCTTTCCTGCCATTTATTATCTTATTAGATATACCACCAAATCAGTTTCAGGTTAAGAAAAAGTTCTTCACAAATGCAAGTTTTCAGGATCAAAAATATATAAATACACACACAATATATATCCAGATATAGATAGATATCCCTATTATCAAAGACCAGAAAAAAAAATTACCTGATGATTTCTTCATGATACAGAGAACTAACAACTGGTCCACCAAAACCAGTATTTGCTTCTTTTCCTTTCTTCTCTGGTGACTGGGGGAGGGAGAAGGGGAGAGGGAGGGATAAAAGGTAGAAAAAAAAAGACACAAGGGTTAAAACAATGTGTATTTAAACTGGTTACAAAATATTACTTTGCAAAGGATACATAACTAAAAGTTTGACCATCTACTATTTCTCAAGGCACTAGTATCAATTTCAAGATGGTATCAAAAAGGCAAGTAGACTTTCAGGTCATCACAGCAGTGGAATGAGTACCCACTAGCAAGCTATGTTCATTCTATTAGTGCCTGTGAAGTCACCTAAAGGCCATTCCCCTAACTGATTATAAGATGTTAGCTAAATTCAAGGTAGAAAATATGGATGTTCCATGTGGGAAAATGAGGTCCTGGCCACACATCGATGTTTCTCTCTCTTTTCCCTTCCTCTCTCCCGCCCTCCTTTCCACTCTCTAAAAAAATTAATGGGAAAAATATCCTCAGGTGAATATTAAAAAAATAAAATATAAAATAAAAGTGATCAAGAAAATCATATCTACATTAACAAAATTAAAATCCCCCCAAAAGAAAGAACCTAAACTGCATAGTAAAACCTAAAATTCAACCGTAAAGAAAATATTTCAGGTGGCAAAAAGGAAGAAGGTAGAAGGGAGAGAGAAAATGAAATAAAAACTAAAAGGAAAAAGAGCCCAATAAACTCTTAGGGAAACACGTTCCAAAATCAAATATTCAATACTCTGTCCCTTGATATTTTTAAAAAACACAAGATGAAGATTAAATTTAGAAATAAGATTCTTCCAAAACATGTAATGTGGAAGCAGTGAACTTGGGTGTTATTACTGTCTGAAAGGCTTAAATTGCAACTTTTGCAAAAGCCCACTTCTGCAATACTGAGTCTTGATACCTTTATCGAAAATCAATTGGTCATAAAATTAGATTTTAATTTTAGACTCAAATCCATTCTACTAGTCTATCCTTATGCAGTACCAATGTTATAATTACTGCAACTTTATAGTGTGTTTGAATCCTCCAATTCAAGTGTGAATCCTCCAATTTTGTTCTTTTTCAATATTGTTTTACTATTTGAGTCCTTTGCAAATCCATCTAAATCTGAGAACTGGCTTTTTAATTTCTGCAAAAATGGCATTTAGAATTTTGGTAAGAGACTGCACTGAATCTGTAGGTCATTTGGGTAGTACTATCATCTTAGCAATATAAAACCTGCCAATCTATGAATCTTTCCATTTATTTGGGTCTTTAAATTGTTTCAACAATCGTTTCTAGTTTTCAGTGTAAAACCTTTCACCTCCTTGGTTAAAATTATTCCTAGGCATTTTATATATTTTGGATGTTATTGTAAATGAATTTTTTTCATTGTTGTTGTATAGAAACACAACTGATTTTTGTATGTTGCTCTTGTATCTCACAAATTTGCTGAATTAACTTACTAGCTCCAGTAGTTTTTTGGGAGTCTTTGGATTTTCTGCATGTAAGAATCATGTTACCTGTCAACAGAGCTAGTTCTGCTTCCTTCTTTCCAATATGAATGCTATTTCTTTTACTTGTTTTATGGCTCTGGCTAGAATTTACAGTACAATGTTGCATAGTAGTAAAAGTAAGTATCCTTGTCTTATTTCTGATTTTAAATGGAAAGCTTCCTTTCTTTCACCATTGAATGTAATGTTACCTGTGGCTTTCTCATAAATCTCTAATGTCATGGTAAGTAAATTTCATCTTCATTTTTAAAGCTGACTTCAATGGTATACAATTATGAGGTGATTTTTTTCCTTTTAATATTGCCCCTACTGATTTCAGATTTCTGAAGTTTGCTATAGTTAAAAAAAATATATATTTATTGTTCATATTATTACAGATGTTCTTCCTCCCCCTACCCTCCAGCTCCCCTCCACCTGGTTCCCACTCAGCCCACTGCCCTCATCCATAGGTGTAAGCTCCTTGTCCAATCTCTTCCCGCACAACCCCTTCCCCCGAGAATTGTCAAGTCTGCTCCATTTCTATGCCCCTGATTCTATTACATTCACCAGTTTATTCTGTCCATCAGGTTTTTTATTCACTTGATTTTTAGATTCACTTGTTAATAGATATATATATTTGTTGTTACTTTGTTGTTCATAATTTATCTTTACCTTTTTCTTCTTCCTCTTCTTAGAGAATATTCTTCAGCATTTCATATAATACTAGTTTGGCAGTGATGAACTCCTTTATCTTTTTCTTATCTGTGAAGCTCTTTATCTGAACTTCAATTCTAAATGATAGCTTTGCTGGGTAATCTTGGCTGTAGGTTCTTGCTACTCATCACTTTGAATATTTCTTACCAATCTCTTATGGCCTGCAGAGTTTCTGTTGAGAAATCAGCTGACAATCATATGGGTACGCCCTTGCAGGTAACTGTTTTTTCTCTTGTTGCTTTTAAGGTTTTTTGCCTTTTGCCCTTGGCATTTTAATTATCATGTTTCTTGGTGTGATCCACTTTGAATTCCTTTTGTTTGCTGTTCTCTGGGCTTCCTGGATTTGTAAGTCTATTTCTTTCACCAGGCAGGGGAAGTTTTCTGTCATTATTTCTTCAAATAGGTTTTTAATATCGTGCTCGCTCTCTTCTTCTGGCACCCCATAATTCGGATGCAGATACGCTTGAAGTTGTCCCAGAGGCTCCTTACACTATATTTATATTTTTGGATTCTTTTTTCTTTTTTACTTTTCTGGTCAGGTGTTTTTTGCTTCTTTGTATTTCAAATCTTTGACTTGATTCTAGGGATCCTCTAGTCTGTTGTTGAATCTCTGTATATTATTCTTTCAGGTCAGTGTATGCTTAATTTCTGATTGGTCCTTTTACGTATACTTAATGGTCTCACCAAATGTCTCAGAGGTTTCTAGAAGTTTCTTGAGTAACATTATAACCATGGTTTTGAACTCTATATCCAGTATTTTGCTTTCAGTCATTTCTTTCATTTGTGACTTGTCTCCACATTTTGGCTGCTTCCCTATGTTTATTTCTATGTACTGGGTAGCTGCTAAGTCTCCTTGAGATGATAGAGTCTTTGTGTGGTAGATGTCCTATAAGGCCCAGTGGCTCAGCCTCCCCAGTCACCTAAGGTATATGCTCTTGGTGCACAACTTACGAGCTGTGTGCACAGTCTTGTAGTTAACCCTTGAATGGCTGTTAGTACCACTGGGAGAAATTGACCTCCAGGCCAATTGGCTATGATGACCAGCTGTGTCTACACTAGAAGATCTACTGCGCAGGAGACAACCTTAGGGGCAGGACTCACTTCAGTGGGGCTTTGGTGCTCACTGAGTCTGTCCCTTGAATGTGTCTCTAGTGGATATTAAGAGTTGTAACCCAGTATGGTCTTGCTCTGACCACTGGGTACACTGGTTTTTGGATCTCCAAGTAGGTGCAAGGTCAGCCACAGTCTGGGGCCGCCCAGCAGGAGCTATAGAAACATCTGCTGATTCCTCCTTTTTGTACGGGGTTTGGAAGTGCCCAGACAAGGCCCAGTTGTGAAGGCAGCTGCCGCTGCCGGACCTTGGGCCTTCTTTTGGAAGCTCTGGGGCTCTCTGACCCAGCTGCAGTTTGATAGGTTTTAGGTGGAAAAAGGACAGGCCATTCATATGCAAAAGCCGATATGCACAGCTTGGGTGGGATTGTAAAATGGGTGGGGCCAGGTCTCTGGGAATCCCCAGGGCAGAGCAAACAGCAATGGCTGCCAGTCATCCCTGCACTGGAGAGGTCCCAGGGACCGTGCCCCCGTGCAAGAACAATGATTGCTGCAAGCACCTCTGAGAGAAAGCCACCCTCACATTCCTGTCCTAATGCCAGACAGTCTAGTTTCTCCCCGTATGTGTCTGGGTCCCCCAGAGTCCTGCCTGGAACTGGAGTTCAGATCAAGTGGGAGCTTGTATCTTCCTCCTGATTAAAAGAGCAGAGCACTTTCCGCACCTCCACACCTCTTACCAGTCTCAATGTGCTTCCTTCACCTCTCTAGTTGTGGAATTTACACAAGGCCAGCTTTCCTGCAGTTCTGGGTGGTAATTGTTCTATCTTTTACTTATAATTTTGATGTGGTTTTGAGAGGCAGCAAGTATAGGTGTTTATCTATGCCACCATCTTGGTTCTCCTTCTTGCTGTAGTTCTTACCTTCGTTCCTCTGTATCCCCTCCCCCCCCTTTTTTTTTAATCTGGATGCTTTTAAGATTTTTTCACTGGTTTTTACCAATTTGATTATGATGTGTCTTGGTGCTTCTTCTGCTTGGGGTTCATTGAGCTTCTTGGATCTATTAGTTTATGGCAGTGATTCTCAACTGGGGGAGTTCCCCCTTTTATTTTCCCTCCAAGGATCTCTAGCAATGTCTAGGGCAATTTTTGGTTGTTGTAAGTGAATGGTCCTATTGGCATCTAGTAAGTAGAGACTGCAGTTGTTGCTCAACATCCCACAATACATAGTTCAGCCTTCTACAACAATCAATTACCCAGCCTCAAATGTAAATGCTGCAAAGGATGAAATACTCTGATTTATAATTTTCATATAATGTTTAAAATATCAGCTATTATTTATGAAATTGTTTTTTTCCTCTTGCTTTTTGTCTTCTTTCTGGGACTCCAACATGCTACATTGCTTGATACTGCCAATATATATCCAATATTCTCCTGATAAACAAAACTCCAAAACAAAACTTCATTAGGGTTCTGTTCATTTTTGTTCAGTCTTTTTATGCTCTGTGTTTGATTTTTCTTAGTTTAACTTGCTACATCTTCAAGTTCACTAATCTTTTCTTATGCAAAATCTAAGCTTCTGTTAATCCTATCCAGTGTGTTATATCAGATATTTTCTTCTCTAGAAGTCCATTTGAGTTTTTTGTATTTTCCATTTCTCTGCCCGTTATGTTCATGTTTTCCTCTACTTTTGTGAATATATAGAATATATTTATAATAGATGTTTTCATCTCTATCATTTCTGCAGTTACAGATATTTTGCTGCTGTCCTCAAATGCTTTAGAGACTTACTGTAAACCAGA